TGAGTTTCTTTTTTCAGTTTTCACATATAAGTGAGATCATACAGTATTTGTTTTTACCTACAATTTATTTTTAATCTAAAATATTAGCAGTTACTGAATGAAATTGCTTGTTTTCTCCTGGAGCATTTTGATGCTAGTTGAGCTTGAGCTCAATCAATATACTGAATGGATTATATGGTGCAATCATGTTTCACAGCCCTTGTTAATGATCCAGTCCTGAATAGAGAAACTAAACATCATCAAGTTGAAGAGTCACTAATTAAATGCTCAGGTAGTACTTGACTTTGAAGTTATTTATAAAATATTAATTTTTTTCTTTGAATATTAAATGAAACAGCATAGGGAACATGAGATAGAAAATTTAGAGAAGCGTGTAGATGTAATGACCATATTCTTCTGCAGTTAGTATTTATTATTACACTTTAGCATTTAGCCTTTGTTGTGCAACACTTAAGTTTTCATTGAGTGGAGAGCCTCGTGGGTTTCAGTTCCAGCTTTGCCCTCTGTAGGACCTTTGTTAATCTTTTCATTTCCTTAAGTTTAGGCATTATTATCCCAATTAAAATTCTAATGCATAAAGGTGGAGATAATACCTGGTCCACCTACTTTAGTTATGAGAATAAACAGGGAGTATCACATGAAAAATCTCTGAAATATTAGCTTGAGAAATACATAGTGCTATAGTTAATCTTTTCCAAACTCCTCTCCATGTTGTATACCTTTCTCCTGACGAAAAAGTTGTGTTCCTTTATTCCCCGAGTCCCTATCTAGTGAATAATACATTTCAATAATCAACTCACAATTAACAATTGGTCAACAGCTTTTTTTGCTATGACTAGGTCTAGGAATGAGGGAGTAAGGGATACCAAGAATAAACTAGAGAAGAATTTCCCTCCCTTCTTTCTTATTCACTCTCCCCTAACTTCCCAGCTAGGAGTCTAATTTGGGAGTATAGAGAGTGCTGAGGGATGTAGAATGAAATGACAAGTTACTATTAGAAATGTTACGTTGGGAGAATCTCAGATTTGAATCCTCATCTGTAGTTTCACTTAAATTACAACAGGTATAAAAGCATTGTGACTCAGTGGTTTATGCAACAAGCTGGAAACTCAAGACCTGTGGGTTCTGGCCATGAGACTGACATCTGTTTTTTTACAAGTGAACTGGCCAAATTACTTCCCAAGGTTGCTAAAAACAAAACAAAACAAAAACAAACAAACAAACAAACAGAACTCACAAAGAGTTGTAATGCCATAAAAACTGTAAAAAAGGTAGCTTTCATGAGAGAATAGATATGAAAATACTCCAAAAGTTAAATTCTTTATACAGATATAAAGCATTACTTTTATCTGAGCTCGAGGAGAAAGGGACACTGTGAATATGAAACAGGTGGGTAATTCCGAAACCTCTTTTTGATCATTAGCTTTAAACACCCACTCAAACCTTCACAAAAGATCTAAGGAGAAGAGAGATTTTTGAAAATGGTATTTGGCTTTCTTCTCAGCCCTCGTGTATTTACCCAGAATGCAGGTGACTTGTGTGTAGGGAATGAGCCTAAAAAGAGGCAAGATACAAATACACTAATTCTGAAACACACCTCCAGACAGCACCAGGCAGCTTTCCTAGAAGATGAAATCGAGGCTTAGAGAAGTGAAGAAACTTTCCCGAAATAAGAAATGAAGTGGGTGTTTGAATCGCTCTCACGTCAGAGCCCGTGCTCTTTATTATTGCCCTGTTTTGTTTCAAGAAAATCAAAATTTATTTGTGGAATAAAAAAATGTCAACCAAACCTGTCCTGGAAGTTATGAGGAAGTCAAGCTGTTCCTGGGATTCTCCCCATCTCTGCCATGGCTACATGGGTTATATCATGACATCTCTACATATCTCTGCATGCCTGCTTAACACTCCTTTCTTGACTAACCAGATTCTTTACACTTTCTACTCTCCCACAAGGCTTCAGTCTGCCAAATCCTCAACTCTACTCCACGGCATTCGGCTTTTGCCCTTGCACCTTAATGACTTATTCTCTCTAGGTGTCCTAGTTCACATTCTAGAGAGAACTGATTGGACCAGATCATGCTTCTACTCTAGGCAATAGATTGCTGGCCAGTCTGCATAGATTGGTTAACTTGGTCAAGTGACCAAACCCTAGGCTGTGGCTAAGGCTGAGCAGGACGGCCAAGTTCCTTGAGAACTGTAGTATAAGTAGGGGCGAATTCTGAAACTAAGCCTGTGCCATTAAAAAAAAAAAAATTCCCAAATAACATCTTTTTTCTTTTATTTGTATATTTCTATGAAAGATACTGACATTCTTTTTCTCACCCTGATTGAAAGTCTAAACATGTTTAAAATAAATTGATTTAATTTTGTTGTAAAAGTAACACACACAGTAAAAGTTGTCTCTTTTTTACTAAAGATTTTCAAGGCCCTCCTAGAGGTGACTACAGGTAAGATTTTGAAGTATCCTTCAGAAAAATTCTATGTATGTTCAAGCATTTTATCCATATTCCAATGTACATAAGTGGAAGAATGCCATACACGTGTCTAGCTTTCCTCATTTAATAAACAGATCTTATAGCCTCTTCCACAGCAACATTATTTTTTTTTATTTTTAAAAAGTATAATAGAACTTAATTATATGCATGTGATTTTGTTTTTCAACCAGTGTCCTTTTGATAGGCAAGTATGTTGTTTCCACTCTTTCCATTACATATAAGGCTGCAATAAGCATTTATGTTTGTACACAGTAAATTTTACCTATAAATATTTCAGTCAAAGCATGCATGACACACTTATTGACAAATTGTTTCTAAAAATGTTGTGCCAATTTCTCCTACCATCTGTGTATAAACGTCCCCATTTGCCCATACCATGCACTGTTAAAAGTCTGTTCAACTTTCCGCCAACCTGGTAATTTCATCTACCTTCTTTCTTGCCCACTAAGTCAGTCACCTTGTTCTGTGATTTCTGTCTCTCTCATCTCTATCTGCATTTTTCTAAAATCTAATTTTTTTTGGGGGGGAGGGGAAGGAGGGTTGGCTAATCCTCACCAGAGGATATCTTTCCTTTGAGTTTTAGGAAGCGGAAGAGAAGGGGAAGAGACAGAGAGATAAAGAAATATTGATGTGAGAGAGGCACACCAATTGGTTGCCTCCCACATGCAACTGAGGTATGTGCCAATGCTCTATTCACTGAGTCAAACCTGCTAGAGCTATCTGCATCTTTCTCTTTTTTTCTTTTAGCCTTGTTAAAACAAGAACACCAAAAATGTTGGTTGCCTCCCACAAAAAAAAAAAGGGAGAGAAATTATCTGTTTCTTTCGAATTGCAGTGTTATGACTTTAGTTTCAGCTTTTATTGCTTCATGTACTGGCCTTCAATATATCTCATATTCTCTTCCCTTAATAAACAATCTACCCAAAGGTGACAGATTAATATTTTCCAAATTTTGCTTCTATTCTCAAAATATTTTGGTGGCTCCCACTGCCAAAAGTAACAACTTCAAATCCTTAGCCAGGTATTCAATGTTCACCAGAGTTCAGTCCCAGTCTACTTCTAAGCATTGATCTGGAAAATGGGCCTACCACTGATATTCTCTATTTTAACCAAATTCAATGACCAATCTGATCTATAAAAACTGTTTGTAGGTCTATGTCCACGAATCAAATCCTCCACTGCTGTCACATTATCACAAGTTTATAGTCCTTAGTGAAAGGCAGAATGGTGGTGTAGTGAGAGCAAAACGATATGCGTTCTCATGTTTTACAAAGACAAAGTCCATTCTAACGGAGAAAAGTCTATTCAGTTCAAAGTGTTTCCAATGTCAAGGCAAGAAGACTAACTCCCGTTCAGTTCAGCATACACTGGGCCCCACCATAAGCGTGGTATTTGTACAGTATTAGGAGGCACTTTGAATCTTAGGCATTCACTCGCCAGGGGTCTAGATTTGCAAAAGGCACAAGTCCGTGCACTCAAGAGGCAGTTCATGTCTCTTGGCTGTAGCCATTCGCAAAAGCAGCAAGGTCTAATTGCCATCAGCAGTCCCAGCAGCTGACAGGACTACAGTTCCCAGCATGCCTCTTCCCACCTCCGCCCCCTCTCGCCCCGCCCCGCCCCTCCCGCCCGCCGGATCTTGTAGTCCCGACCCAAGGCAGGTGGCGGTACGGAAGCACCCGAGAAATACGCTTTTCCCACCTAGCCGGCGGGAAGACCGAAAATCCCATCCCTTAGTCCCGGCTGACTAGGGTCTGCCCTGCCCTGAGTCGCATTTCCTCCCTCCGCCCAGCTCTCATCCCAGCGAGAGCTTCCCGGTCGGAACCCGCCCCGGAAGTGGAATCAAGTCGTCCAGACGACGGGCGAGGCGCCTTTCCAGCCAATCCCAAACCGGCTGGGGCCGGCGGGGCGGGGCCAGGAGGCGGAGCGGGCGGGGGCGGAGCGACGTGGCGTCGTGCTTGGGGGCGGAGCCGAACGAACGCGGGGCCTCGCGTCTGGGTGGCGGCGGCCGGGGGCGCGCCCGTGGGGAGAGGCGGCGGCGGCGGCGGCGGCGGCGGCGGCGGCGGCGGCTGCTCGTGGGAAGGGTGGGGGGAGTGAAAAGGAAGAACCGGGAAAGGGGGGGGCAGGGCGAGCGGAGAGCCGTGTTCCTGAGGCGGTGGCGGCGTCTCGGACGGAGGAGGCGGCGGCGGAGGGCGGGGAAGGAGGATGGAGCAAGCGGGGGGTTGGGGCTGGCGCTAGCTGCCGCGTCCTGGGGGAGAGAGCGGCGGCTGCTTCTGGAAGTTGTAGGGTCGGTGCCGGGCCGGTGCCGCCGCCGGGAGCGGCGGGGAGGCGGAGGAGGAGGAGGAGGAGGAGGAGAGGGCAGCGGGGGGTTAGCTAGCGGGGGGCGGCGCGGGAGAAGGACGAGCCGCGGGCAGCGAGCTGGGGAAGACGGAGGAGCGGGCTCTGCGCCGGGCGGGCGGGCGGCGGCGGGGCGGCCAGCAGCCACCGCAGCCGGGGGGACGCGGGAGGATGGAGCAAGTGGAGATCCTGAGGAAATTCATCCAGAGGGTCCAGGCCATGAAGAGTCCGGACCACAATGGGGAGGACAACTTCGCTCGGGACTTCATGGTGAGTCCTTCCCCCTCCCGCGTTGTGGAGCCTCCTCTTCGCCGGCACCGGAGCCTCCCGCCGCCGCCGTACCCGGGGCCGGGCCGGGCCGGGCCGGGCGGCCGGCGCTTTGTGTGCGACGGCGGGGCGGAGAGGGGCGGAGAGGCGCGCAGCCACCCACCCCGGGGCCCGGGGGTCCCGGAGGCCCCCGCCCCTCGGCCGCCTTCCCCTCCTCCCGCGGCCGCGGCCACCTCCGCGGGTGCCGAGGGAGAGGCCACCCGGCCGATCCGCAGCCGCCGCCGCCGCCGCCGCCGACCACCTATTGTCTCTGGTGCCGGGGATCGGAGGCGAGCGAGGTCTCTGGTCCCCTCCCCGTCCACCCTGTCCCTCCCGGGAGCGCCCAGGCCGTGCCTGCGTAGGGAGACACCGGGGGGACCGGGGCGTGGAGGTTGGCATTCCTAGGTGGGGTCCCCGGACTCAACGCTGCGGTCTCACCCGTGGGCGAGGTACGAGTTCCGCGAATGGGGTTCGCAAATGGTTACGTATCTCAACCGCCTGGGAGGGAGGGGGCGAGAGGATGGTCTCTAAGGGGTCTCGTGGTTTTGCCTAATTCCCAAGGATCCCTCGGTCCGGGATCTCTCTCTCGGCTCCTGGGAACCTGATCGGAGACAGAGTGGGGGTCCGAGCGACTGTAGGTGGAGGGAGGGTGTGTGTGTGTGTGTGTGTGTGTGTGTGTGTGAGAGAGAGAGAGAGAGGGAGGGAGAGGGAGAGAGAGAGAGAGGCTTATCCCGGAGGAAACCTTCAGGCTCCCCAGGGGCTATTGCCGAAGGCGGAGGGGATGTGACTATCACTTCCTATCCGGGGTGGGGGTGGGGAGCTCGGGAACAATAGTCCTGGCGGGGCGGAGGCGACGTTGCGGGCCGGAGCCGGGAGCCGGGAGCCGGGAGATAACCTTCGCCGCCTTCTCCCCCCTTTCCCTCCCCCCCCCCCCCTTTCCGCCTTCTGCTGGTGCTGGCGGGCCGGGAAGGAGGTGAAAAGTCTATAGTTTGTGAAATTGGTCTATAGAAACATCCCGTGGAGGGGGTCAGGTCCGAAGGCGTGGGACCCGAAGTCCGACTTCCTACATTGCCGGCCGCCGCCCCCCCCCTCCGCCTCCCCCCTTATTTTCCTGCCGGACAAACGTTCCTTTAGGGCTGTTTCCCGGCCCGGGAGGCGGTGGTTGCGGCGGCTGCTCCTACGGATGTTGCGCAAGAGCGGGGCGTTGGAAGCCCCGGAGGTCTGGGGCTTGGAAAAGGAAGCGGGGCTCGGGGAAGTGGTTCCTGCTTCAGCCTTGGCGGGATTTGGGAGTGGGAAGTAAGCTAGGGGGAATTGGGTTCCCGGGCAAAGGGCATCCCAAGAATAACCGTTTAACCCCCTCCCCCCCATCTCTCTCTTTTTTTTTTTTTTTGGATTGTGGAAAGTGTACACAGCTAATGCACAGAACATTAGCGAGCAGCAAACATTGTTTCGTTTTTTGCTTCAAAGTAGTTTTAATTGTTTACAAGGTGCAGGTGAAATGGCTTTTAGTACTTTTCCACATGTTAAAGAGACTTCGGTCTAGGAAAGCGTTAGCGTTAAAATGAATACCTTTCGGATCCACAGTGCTGCTGAGCTTTGTGGTTCCCGCCTTTCTAGACCAGTAATAGAGGACAGGAGTAAGGTTTTGATAGTGTCTTTGGACGTTGGAAAAATATATTTAAATAACCTATGCTTGTTTTAAGCATTTTTCTCTTAACATTTAGCTTATGTATTTTTTAAAAAAATATACTTTTTGATCAGAGAAGGGTAAAGAAAAGAGGACTTTTCCCTTAATACCGAGAATTTTGATGGTGGTGGTGTCTTTGAATAGTATCAATCCTTGGATGAAGTCCCCGTTTTACTATAGCAAAATAGAAGAATATATTTGCTTAGAATATTTAAAACACTGAAAACTAGTCTTTTGCAGGCTTATTTTGGTTATGGAAGGATAAGAGGTGAGGTCTTTGGCCACTTCTTTGCATGCTAGTCATCTTGTTATCCCTAGGCATATCCTGTCAGGAAGGAGTATTGTTTGGTGATGTGTACCGCTAGGACAGGTGCCCAGTCTCTGAACTGTACTGGGAAGTAGCTCTAGGGTTCATGCTTTAGGGATGAGTCAGGAATTCCTGTTGAAAATTTCATTTCTCAAGGACTGAATGAGTTTTCCTTTTCCTTCCATAATACCTAGGAATAGCAAGGTGATTTTACATTTGAGATTTGATGACTAAGGCCATTATTTTGTATTGCTTGCTTTTAATTCCCTGACTTGATAAGCAATAGCTATAATTAATGCTGCTAGTTGGTGCTCCTTTTCCCCTTGCCTGAAAGATTGGGGGGAAACTGTACCTCTACCATAGAGAATAGTCTATAACATAGAAGATTAGCTTATTTTAGCATTTTAGAATGGAGCCGTAGCTATAATCTAGCTAGTATAATCTTATTCAGTTATAATGTTCATCATTTCCAATCTGGAAATTATCTTCTATAATAATAAAATCGTAATATGCTAATCAGATTGGACATTCTTCCGGACAACCTGCTGGATGAAGCTGTGGCTGCGTGGCTGTGAGGGAAGCCGGGTCTTGGGTGCGGAGGGAAGCTGGTGCCAGCCTCTGGGGGAAGGAAGGCCTACTCTTGCACGAATTTCAAACCCCTGGACTCTAGTAGAATAATAATTAAAATAATGCTCTCCGCTTAGAAAAGCATCTGAACTGTGCTCTTTTGCCGTAGCCGGTTTTACTCAGTGAATAGCGTTGGCCTGTGGATTGAAGGGTCCCAGGTTCGGTTCTGGCCAAGAGTACATGCTCAGTTTTCGTACTCTGTCCCCAGTGTGGGGTCGGCAGGAGGTAGACAATCAACGATTCTCTCTCACCATTAATGTTTCTGTCTATCCCTTTCTCTCTGATATCAATTAAAAATAAACTTGCCCTTTCCATTTTTTCTATCCAGCCTTTCTATAGTCCAGCGAATTTTCAACCTTTTTCATCTTGTGGCATATAAACTATTTACTAAAATTCTGCAGCACATCAAAAAATATATATTTTTGCTGATCTGACAAAAATGGTATAATTTTTTATTTCATTCACACCAGATGGCTATTGTTCTGTTGGTGGTTGTCATTTTTAAGTTTGATAGTTGAAGGGAAAAGAGGTCAGTGCCCCTGACTAAATAGGTATTCCTTGTCTTAAAAATTCTTGTAGTGCTCTGGTTGAAAATCGCAGTTATAGTCCTATTACCAAAAGGCTATCTTTTTTAATGTTTTAAAAAATATCTGTATAATATTTTAATTTATGCAAATAGGCTTGAACTATATATACCCTGTTTCCCCGAAAATAAGACAGTTTCTTATATTAATTTTTTTCTCCCAAAATTGCACTAGGTCTTATTTTCAGGGGATGTCTTATCTTTCCATGTGCTAGGTCTTATTTTCGGCGGATGTCTTATTTTCAGGGAAACACAGTACTATTATAGTTTATATCTTACTTTAGACATGGGTTTATAAATATATGTAGATCAGTATAGTTCCTTTTAAAAATTTTATTGAAGTACATTGACAGCATTAAGTCTGTTAATGTTTTCTTTTTTATAAAATACATTTTATTGATTTCAGAATGTAAGGGAAAGGAAGAGAGCACAACATCGATGATGATGAGAGAGAAACATTGATCGGCTGCCTCCTGTATGCAGCTCCTGGGGATTGCGTCTGCAAATTGGACTTAGCCCCTGATGGGAATCAAACCTGTGATCTCTTGGTTCTTGGGCCAATGAGGCTGGGCTTGTCTGATAATGTTTTCATGCTTCTCTGTGGCCATACTACATATGTCATTTTATATTCTTGGTTGTTTTTTTCAACTTAACATTTTAATCATTTGAAAAAAATCGTTTTAAGCTGCTTCATAATATTTCACCTGGCAACTAATGTTAACCATTTCCTTGTGGTTGAATGTTTAGATCATTTATTTTCTGCTCTTGTATATCATACTTCTGTACTGAACAATTATGCATAAAACTTTATTTTTGGCCGAAACGGGTTTGGCTCAGTGGTTAGAGCGTCAGCCTGGGGACTGAAGGGTCCCAGGTTCGATTTTGGTCAAAGGGCATGTACCTTGGTTGCGGGCACATCTCCAGTGCGGGGTATGCAGGAGGCAGCTGATGGATATTTCTCTCTCATCGATATTTCCAACTCTCTGTCCCTCTCCCTTCCTGTCTGTAAAAAAGCAACAATAAAATATATTCAAAAGTATTAAAAAACACTTTATTTTGGATTATTGCATAAGATATCTTCTAGTACTGGAAGTAAACATTTAATACACGTTTATAAGTAATTTTTTTTTTAAAGAAGTGTCATTTATACAACTGTCAGTAATATACAAGTGTTCATATAATTATCTTGATCTTTGATAATTTGATGGTTGGAAATGGTATTTTGTTTTAATTTGAATTTCTTATGTTTTAATGTGAATTTCCTGATGATTAATGAGGGAAGAAATTTTTCCATCTGTCATTAACTAGTCTATGAGTTGTCACACCTGTTTTTACTCCCATCTCTTCCATAGATTAACTACTTGACTTTGGGCAGGCCACTTAACAGAAAATGAATGACTGAGTTCTCCCAACTTTAAAAGAAGAATAATGTACCTCCCTTATGGAGCTGAAGTATGGGACTCATATTTCACTTAACAAATTATTGTGCTAAGGTCTAGATGTCTTCATAGTTGAAGATAACTAGAGATAGAAGAAAAGAAGTATTTGGGCTTTTGTTTTAGTAATTTTCTTTGGCTTTTTAAAGTTTTTCATGTCTAATCTCAAATATATTTGTTCTGATCAGAGTAAAGTTTAATGTGCATTAGATGTGAATTTCAAGGGATGTAGGCTATAAAAATGTTTTTGCAAATAGTAATTCTGAAAGAACTGCTCAAAACCAGTTTGCTTGCTTTGTTATGATTAAATAATTATTGTATTGT